GGGGGGGGGGGGCAGGGGGGAGAGGGCTGTTTGTATATTGTATGGGGGAGTAGGAGGATGTATGTGGGGTATGGGTATGGTACGGTGGGGGGGATATGGGAGGGGTGTAGATGTACTGTGGATGGGTGTGGTTGCAGTGTGGGGTATGTGGGAAAGTGTTGGGTGTGTGTGTGGACATGGTGAGGGGTGGGGTAATGTGAGGTGTGTTTAGGTATGGTGGGGTATAGAACAGTTTTGGGTGGGTCTGGGTATGGTGGGCGGTAAGGTATGTGAGGGGGTGTGGGTGGGTTAGGTGTGCACATGTGGGGGGCTTCCCCCCTGCCCACTCTGACGTGGCTGAGCCCAGCCCCTCCACAGACACGGGGAGGGAGAGGGGGGTCAGCATTGTCTGCCTGGCTTGCAATGCACTGTAAAGGGGAGGGAAAGCAGCTGCTGCCAGCAGGCAGAAAGATAAGCCCTTGGGGGGGGGGGGGGCAAGGAGCCAAGTCTGGCACCACCAGCTCTCTCGGCCTCAGTCCCACATGTGCCCAGAGGGGCTGCAGCCAAGCCCATGCTGGCTCCTGCTTCCACCCCTCTTCCCTGTCCCGTGCCTGGCCAACAGGGTTGTAGCCAAGCCCGCACTAGCTCCTGCTACTGCTCCCACTCCCCCTGCTTGTGTGGCGGGACCGCACCAAGCCCAGGCTGGCTTTTGCTGCTGCTTCCACCCCACCTGCCTGCCCAGCAGGGCTTTGTGAGCAATCGAGCTCCTTCACACCCCTGTCCCTTCCATCCACGTGTTCCCCCACCCAGCCTTGCACAAGCAGGACCAAAGCAAACTGCAAGCAGAGCCTGCCCCCACCCTGCTCCCCTTGCTTGCACTGAAGCAGGGACAGGAGAAGGATTTGCTGGAGGCCAGGGGAGCCTAGCAGTTCCCTGGGCAGCTGCAGCAACAGCAGCTCTGCCAGAAAACTGCCTGCTGGACGGGGCTGGGGCCCTCCAGTGGGGGAGGCCAGGAGCTCAGCACATGCTGCCCCAGGCGGGAGCAGGAGGGATTCAACCCCATTCAGAGTGCAGCAGGGGCAGCCACTGCCAGGCCAAATGTAGTTAATCAATGGGTGTCCACCTGCAGGCCGGATCCAATCAGCTGGTGGGCCAGATCTGGCCCATGGGCCATATCTTGCCCACCCCTGCCCCACTTTCTTCCCTCCACTCAAATTCTTCTCATCAAAGTCTAAAGGCCCATTCTTTCACAGCCCCACTGCCTTTGGTGATGTCAGTCATACCCTCCAGGGAATGTTTTCCTCCCCTGGCTGATCCCATGCAGCTCAGCTTCTCTTCCTACCTCCCAACTATCTTCTTTCACTTTCTCCTTAGTGGCCCAACCTTATTCCACTTCACAGCAGTCCTACACACACAGGCATCTACCCTTCCCTCTTCCTTTTAACCTATTCTTCAGCTGCTTTCATCTACAATATGAAATCCTAGAATCAATGACAAAGGTCCACAGACTACCATAAGGGTAATATTTCCACTCAAGGCTTCTACTGTCCTCTCTAAACTACAGACTCAAATCCACCTTTCCACTCAAATTCTCTCTCTCTACCCAACGCATGTCCTCTCTCCCAAGTTCCTTTCCTGGATTTTTCACCATCAACCTCCACTCTCAAACCATCTCTGCTCTCCCTATTCCATTTTCTCTTAACAGCTGAACCCCAGTCACTCAGTCAATTACTATGGACAGCGGCTCCATTCATTGCCATGTTCTATATGTAAATTTCCAGTCCTCGAAATCTGGAAACTGCCAAGGGTGCAGAGAAAGTGTCTAGTATTACTATTAGAATACAGACATGCTCTTCACAAGGCAAAAGGACTGAAATGCAGTGTTGCTTTCATAAGATTGCCAGCTCCTTCTGGGATGACTGTCTATCACTAAGCTAAACTTTTTTTCCCCCCCCAAGTTCCAAGTCTACATCCCATTAACTGATACTAAGCATCTCTTATGAAAGGGCACAGCCAATGGTTAAAGGGAAGGGCAAAGATTCTGACTTGTTTAAACAAATCCATGTTAAATTAGACTGCCCAGATTTGCGTGTTCTCTCTGACACGACAGACTTTGAAGCTCTACCATTCAAGAGATGCATGTAGGCTGAACTAGTAGGAAATGAAACCTAACAACAAGCAACAGAACAGACAGACTCCAGCAAACTTCCCCAGACCGCAACCCAAAGGTAGCTTGAGGACTCACCAAAATGGAAAGGTAAGAAGATCACTGACCACAAAACAAAACACCACCAAGCAAGCATAAGGTTGAAGCACTGAACATCGACAAACACGAATAGCATGTATTCACAACTAAAGTGATAATTTGAAGGCAGTGGTTCTCAAACTTCTTAGTCTCAGGGCCCCCCTGCGTAACTTTTCAGAATTTCACAGCACCCCAACTGAAAGATCTAAATCTACAGAGATGGATCTAAATTCAGAAATGAAAAAGAGGGGATCTTGAAGCTAAAAAAGTTGAGAATCACTGATCCAGATAGTACCACTTAAAGGTGACTTCACTCACCCTGCTGTGCCCTGCTCTTTCTAAGTCTTCCTCCTTCCACCCCCGGTCTGTACCTCAGTGGGAAAGGGCACCTCCCACTGCTGAGGCTGCTCCTGCAGGGTCTCACATTCCAGCAGCCACTCCCACACCCCGCTTGCTGGTGCCAGGAGCACAGTTAGTAGTAGAAGGGACAAGGCTGACTGCAAAGCATAGTCCTGCCTGTGTGTCCTCCCACCCACTCACAGCACAGCATGCTGCTGGGAGAATGGGGAGGGGGGCAACACAGGGGATGCCTAGGGGCAGGGAAAGGCAGTGGTGGCAGTCCCCAGAGGAGCAGCTGCAGGCACCACCAAATTAGCTGGGGCAGGTTCAGGGTGCTAGACAGGAGGAGAGCTCTTACCTCCTCACACAAAGGAATCTCACAGCACACTGCCACCACTCACCCTTTAAGAATCACTGTGATTTAAGGCCTCCTTGCCTATCATAAGCCCACCACCATGTTTCTAGCTACTCTGATCTGCAGGAGCCAACCAAGCAGCTGGCTACCAAAGAGAACTAGCTGGGGAATTCAGAAGGGATGTTGATATCCACATACAAACTGCATTAATGCAGGATACCTGCAAGCAGGTTAGTGTGTGTACAAATGTCTAGGATGAATACCAAAACAGAAGCTAATATTTCAAAGACACAGATTCAGAAACTCCAGCTTTGCTGTGATACATCACCATTTCAGCAGAGTAACATTAAGCATTCTGTGGTTCCCTATCACAGCCTTCTGGAAGCAGTGTGTTTTCCTGTCACATGTAGGGGATCTAAGCCTAGTCTCTCCCCCCAGGGATGGGATAGATATACTGGCAAATCGTTCAATTACTGGGTCCAGAGGAAGTATACAATACAATATTACTCGAGTAACCTACTGTGGCCCATCCTTCACAGCAGTGTCCATGGACTCCTAAACATGCTTTCTTCCATATCTGAGTATTTTCTGAGGGCAGAAAGAAAAGCATAGAAGTGGGAACAAAGGAGGAGTTAAGGTACTGTGTGGTACTGGACACTGACACAAGCGGTCAGCATAGTCCAATATATTTCTCTCTATTGGTGGGCGAAGAGCAAAATTGCCGACAAGATGCCAAATATATACAAGAGGGGTTTTATGCTGTAGTTGTCATCATCGCAGAGACAGCATCATCTGCTCCATTAGGAACCCTCAAGGTTGAACATCATGTTGAGTTATGTGCGAGTTTGCCATACTAGAGAATCTAATTAGAAACGCAAGATATTTAACACTTAGCTGAAAGCAGACAGAGGAAGGAAGAGCTACAAAGAAGCTCATTAAGAATGACAGGTAAATGAAATCCTTCTACTCATCAATTAAAGTGACACTGCCTAGAGCTGCTGTCACCCCCACAAGTGAGTTAAGAGACTGCTCAGTGCAAATTAGCCACCTCCCCACGAAAGACTGTACTGAATATAGAGAGTATCTTTATATTGCTATATCAGCCAAGGTTAAGCTCAGCCCTCATTTAATAAATGTGCTCAATAACTCACCCTGCTGGATACGCGACAAGACCAGTTTTGGGGTCACAGGCTAACCCTCTGCCTCCTGACACGGTGATTCCCAACACTTTCTCCAAGGTCACCTAATACAAAAGGAAAAAAAAAAGTCACGAAGCATCATAAGCTGCAGTCAAAGATAGACGCGTACATGGCTTATCACAGCACTGAGAAAGGCAAGAGATCAACAAGAACCCCCGTCACTCATGTGACAGCCAATGGAGCAGGCTGCCACCCCTGAGCATCCAGAGGGAGCCTGAAGCTAGAAGAGCAGGGGTCACAAACCCAAACATGATCAGTCCAGTCAGGCAGCTGCTGCTTGAAATGTCTGAATTTTTCCAGACAATGAGCTCAGCTTTAAAAAGACAGAACTGGCAAAAGCTACTTGGAGGATGCAAGAACCCATCATCAGGCCTTCATTCCTTTATAGTGAACTGGGAGTAATCTGTAATCACTCTCATGTGTCTTTGCTTTTCCAAACTGCTGCTAGCAATAAACCCAAAACAGGCAAAGGAAGGATCTTTCTGCAAGGCCTGTAGACTAGCTGTTCCAGCAGTTCCTAATAATACTTTAAAGCTTTGGGATTCCCAGAGGCTCTGCTTGTACCTGAGGCTCAGGCAATCCACACAACCAACCTATGGCATGGATTACACAGTACAGAATCCAAGATCCTGCTAGCTTTTTCCTACCTTAACTGTTAGACCAATATTTCAAGTGTTTTCAGGTTGGCAACCCCTTTCCTCAAAGTCAAACTTCCCAAAGCTCTTACAATTTTTATTCTGACTTTTAAAGTAAATATAGCAATGATAAGATGACATAATATAACGACCAATCTATATGACCTCATAGACTTGGAAGGATTCTGTCACCCTGAAGTTACTTTGGAAATCTTGTCTCCTTCATTTAAAGTGCAAAAAGTGTTTAATGTTTTACAACCCACTTCACCCCAAGTGACTTTCCTGACCCATGCCCCTTCAGAGGTCACAAAGCACACACTGAGAACTACTGCAGGAGACCATCCAACCTACAAAAACAAAAGGCCAAATGTTCTTGGTTTTTTTTAAGGAAACGTAATGCTTGTCAAAGAAAACTGATGCCAGATTAAAAGGCTAGGCTCTTAGTCAAATGGCATGAGACATTCTAGGAAACCATGCCCCTAAACTTCAGCCTATGTTCAGCCCTTGGGATCTCCTGATTAAGGCACAAAACCATTTCCTCTTTCCTTTGTATAGTTTGTGCAGTATGGTTTTAGTTATTACATGTTGCATGCATGTGCCTTCTCCAGCACCACAATCTCTGCCAACTCATATTTTTATTGGGTCACGTTGTCTTCTGGTTTTAATTACCATAGTTCTAGTTATATTTTGTTACACATTCATAAGCCTTCAGGCATAGGCACTGCATACGAGGATATTACCATAATTATTACTATTATCATTAATGGATGTCTTGGAGACCAACATCTTGTGTTTATGCAAACAACTTGGGACAAAAGGCAGAGATGGGACAGGCCTTACCACAGATCCAAAAGAATCCTCTCTAGCATGAAAAAATGTGGTCTCCATCTGCTTGGTTCACTGCTCAGGTAGCTAAAGAGTATGCCAGGAGTAGCAGTGTGTTTTGGGATGCAACTGTCTCCCGTTAGGAGTCAGGCCAAGACACATCCCCTACCCTGAAACAGGCAGAAGTTCAAACATTTCTGCCTTGTATTGGCTCCAGACCGGTGACATGAAGGTTAGAAGACTTCATATATCCCAGTCTCTGGAGACACTCCATCCTCATTCTTTTTCCTTTAACAACATAGCCCAGAAGTCTTAAGCCAGTATGAGGGAACATAAAATTGTCCCTTTCCTCTTGCATAATGAATCTCTTTGGAAATGTGGTTTCTACAAAACTGCATCCAATATTTTTGTTTGTTTTTTTTAATATGAGAGCATGCTATTAAAAATGCATCTATAGACCCACTAGCAAAGTGGGGAAATAGCTTTGTTTCAATTCAGTATTCCCTTTAAAAAAAAGGGAAAAGAAAAAACTTGTATTCTGACCAGGATTGTTACAGCTACTTCAAAGCATTTAAACAACTTACTATTAAAAAGTAATTATAAATGGACATAATCACACACACACACTCAGTCAGTAGGTAGTTCAGACAAAGATATGGCTTAGTCCTTGGGTTCATGACAGCGTTTTTCTAGCACTGAACATCTCTGGCTGTCAGCAAATGATATGCTCCGCTTCACCTCCACCTTTACAGAGAGGCAATTACTGCTGAAGGTATTGTTGGTGTTTTTACCCTCATGGTTTGATCTAGTGCTACTAAAAGAATATTCCCATGAAGAATTCTCTCAATTTTCAAAGACTCAAAACTGAACTATACATAGATATACATACATATATATATACACACACACACACATACACACACACACACACACACACACTAGCTGAAACTCACAAAACATTTACAATCAAATTTTTATTACACAAGTATTTCTTTAAATACAGAATTTTTAGTTATCCTTTGACCAAATACTTTAATGGAATCAAAACTTCTCACCCTCAAAAAGGCTGCAGAAAGCTGTCCATGTGTAAACACTGGCTTAGGAATATAAATACATATTTTATCAAAAGTCTGACCTTGTGACTTGTTTATAGTCATAGAATAAGGGGGCCCTTGTACACATGACTAAGGGGCCTTGTACACATGAAGAAGTTGCTCCTTTTAGGAATGTAATTGCCCATTTTAACAATTTAGTTGCATAAAAGTGTACACATTTGGCAGCATGTTTTAATTAAAATTTCATAACAGTGTACACACTCAGCGGTATATTTTGATTTAAATGACTTTATGTAGCAAACTAAAACACATCCTATGTATTTGAGTTCGTTACATAAATTACAGTGATAGCCCTCACATGTACAAGGGCCCTATCTGGAGAAGGGGGTGGGGACAGTGCACAGGGCTCTGGAAACCCAGGCGTGCTTGGGGAAGCTCAGGCTTGGCAGGCTTTCTGCATCCTGTGCACTGTCCCCGCTGCCTTCTCTGGCTGCCAGCACACCCACTGTCCTCCTGCCCCCTTCCCAGGGCAGCCAGCCCGTTCTCAGGGGGTCCCAGGTGGCAGGAAGGCGGCAGGACAGTGTACAGGGTGCTGGAAGCCTGCCAAGCCTGAGCTTCCAGCGCCCCATGCACCATTGGATCTGGCGGGTGCTGCCAGTGACCTGGGGCTGCACCCGCGCAGCTAGCACCCCACCCAGGCCACCCCAAGGGGCACCACCACCGCAAAGAGAAGCTATAGGCCCCTCTGCAGCTCAGGGGTTGCACAACCCGGTGGCAGCTCGTGCAGGCAGACTCTGCTGAGGAAAAAAAAACAAAAACAGAGAAGTGGGGAGGGGCCTGATTTTTTTTTTTTCTCCCAGAGCCTGCCTGCATCTCCCGCAGCTGGGGAGAGAGCTGCCAGAGGGTCACGCATCCCCTGAGCTGCAGGGGACCCTGATGCTTCCCCCCACAGTGGCGGTACCCCCCGGGCAGCACCCACCTGCTGGCACTGTGCCCAGGCGGTCCCTGGGGGCACCACCACTGCAGACAGAAGCACCGGGACCCCCTGCAGCTCAGGGCCCACCAGCAGCTCACCCCCCTGCCCACGGGAGAGGCAGTCAGACTCCAGAGCCAGGGAGAAAAAGAAAAAAAAAAGAAGGATCAGGCTCCTGACTGCTTCCTCCCCTCTCCAGTGGGGCCTGCCTGCTCCACGGCAGGGGCCCCTGGTGCTTCACTCTAGCTCTGACTTGCCTACATATCTGTCTGAGATGCCTCAGGATCTTCTATAATAACAACACACTTATTCTGTCTGTCCAGAGCATTCCAGCTGGTTGTTTCAGTAAGCATTGTGATTGGCTCCTAATACAACCAGAGTGCTCTGGATAGACAGAATAAGCCTATTATTATTATTATAGATATATACATATAAAGTTTCTTCTCCCCCTGCCCCTTTTTTCAGATCCAAAGCTGCTCACACAGACAATGCTGTCCCACTTTTGAGACTAGGACTTGGAGTCCTGCCTTGCCGTAGGATCTCGCTGAACAACCACAGGCTCAGATTCTGCTCAGCCATAACTATTCTTCTTCAGAACTGCTTACTGTATCTATGAGATTGTGTTTGTTTAATGAGATCCTACAGCAAGGGTAGGATGGCACTGTGCCCAAACCAAAAAAGGAAGCCAACAAGCACTTGTCTATGAATCCTAATCTGATATGAATGGGAGAGCATAGCAAACATTAAGACAGAAGAGCCCCAGGGCCTAGTCAGTTTGCATGAAGGACTGGAAGCATGGTCTCTATTTTACTAATTGATCAAGTTAATATCCCTTTTTATACCCACAGTCAGCCTTCAGACACACAGATACCTGCTTGTACTTTCTTATCAGGTAACTGGATATTTAACTGCCATCATCTGAGCATGCAAATAATTGCTAAGATCAAGTCTACCATTAAATGTGCCCCCAAATTACCACTGCAGAAAGGAGGCTGGATTTTAGGATATTCCACATTCATTATTTCATGCCTTGTATTATATTTATAATCCTTGAGATCCTTGGATGAAAGTGCCAAAGTGCTTGACCAGCGTTATTGAACATTGCCGTACATTGTGGACAACATCACCAAAACTCTTACAGAGTTCAGGTCACATTACACCCATGTTACATATCACTACTCTCTTTGTGTCCCTGAGGCCAACGCTTTCAAACTAATGTTCCTAAAACAAGGCACTTAACTTTAAGTCCACATTCAGACATCTAAGCAGGCCAAACTTCACAGGTACCAAATTTCTCTCCCTTGCAAGGAGTTGTAGTTGCACTTCTATTGAATCACTGGGCCCTAAGGTTGCTTAGTTATTCCAGCAAGGTCACACTATGAAGACCAACACAGCACCTGGCTCAATGCTGACATGGTAACATTACAAGGAAGTTCAAGTTGTGAGAACCTACTGACACTGACAGATCAACACAAAAAGGAAGATCCCATTACTGTGCTTTCATAGCCAATACTCTCACCACACTGCTGCAAACAGCCATAGATTTCCTGGCTCCC